ATTGATTTCCCGTGAACTGTAAAATGTTAAAACGTCTAAAGATTGAATTATCAAATTAATTTGGGACAAAAATAAACATTAACCAAAATATTCTTCACGACTTGGAAGGATCTAAATATTAACAATATAAAACATTGGAGTAAACTACATGAATTTTAACATGATGATCTCTGTGTAGACTCTGTCTATGTCACCGCAACCTTTTGAAAAGAACTACAACGCTACCAGAACCAAGCTTAACATTGTTTACTTGAAATATAAAATATGTTATTCGATATTCTGTTTATGTTTAAAGTCTACAGCGACCTATTGTTCAGCATCCAGAAACTCAGTCTTGTGCAATGCTGCAAAACATTTAATAAGCGCATACGTCCCATTGTTAGAACTTTATATGGACAATTCTTCTTGAACTGCATGATCTTAAATTGAAAACTGCTAATAGCACTGACAAACCATCGATAAAATGGATAACAACTCTGAATCTAGGAATATTGTCGCCAAAATGATTGGTAATGCTAATGAGAAATTCAGACTATAAAGAGACACACTCTGTGATTTACTTGGATATGCGTGAGGCAGTTGGATTTTCATATCACAGTCTACACAAGAAAGGTGTATTTGGGGAACATATTTAAATGTTTTTTGGAACAAAGGATTTCCTATATATCAGCAGTAACACAGCTAAACAGCAAAAACTTTCGCTAACATTTCTTCTTGATAAGGGGCATATATACGTATCCATGGTGATATATCGATTTGGACCCCATCCATTTTAGAGACCTAAGACTTTCGTTTGAAGATATCAAGAAGTTGTTGCTGGTTTCAGGATAATAAGACAGTAAAGACTGAAAGGACCCAAGAGTCCTTTATATTGAGAGAATCGTTGTGGACAGACTTTGTGACTGTTAAAGGAAACTATGATTGCTTACCGGTAAGAGGATTTCCTTCGGATGTCGAATGTTGAACTTATGAAGCCACTAGGGACAATTATGACCAAGATAGCCATAATGCCATGTATTGCAGTGATCGTGAACAAGCAGTTCCTTGTTCTTGGGACTATTGAAGCCATTTAGAACTGATTTTTACGAAGCGAAAATGTATATTAAATATGGAAGACGATATTTTATTAGTGATCCAGGAGGGGACGCTCTGATCAAGTGTTACCCAGAGGATACTTTTGATGTCTGCATGGGTGCAGATACTGACATACCTGGTTGGTCTGAGTGCATAGTACCAGCCAGGGTAGTATGTCATGAGAACATATGTGGGGATGAGGATTTTCTGGTGGAACAGAGGATGAGTAACAGTAGGGAAGACTTACTCATATATCGTATATTGCTGGCCAGCGCGTTGAACAAGAGTTCCACATCGTGTACTGAATGTAGGAGAAGAAAGAAGGCTATAAAAAGGAACTGACATGGCCGTAGCTTCTATTGATTTTCAAGGAGACGTCCTTGAGTCAGCTAGACCCATGCCTATGATGAACAGTACCTGTCCTATAGATCTGGAGGAGGTTCAGTACAAACGTGATAAAAGTGTCTAATTATATAAGTGAAAGTGATGGAGGACATCACAATTTAAGAGAAAACTGTGAAGAAATCAGACAATTCTGAGAAGGACATGGCTTATATTTCTTTTGTGACTAAGGAGGCTTCAATGGAACTGTTAGAAAAGAAGAATTGTAAGATGAAATGGAGACTTCCAAGTGGAATTCAATAATGCAGTCTCAAAGATTGAAAAGACATCGGATATACACAAATTCTCCCGTATACCAGTATGGACAGAGAACATTGTTAGTGTTGGGGTAAATCTAAAAGTATATGTTTACTAAATTGGTAATTATTTTCAGAACAAAACTGAAATGTCTATAAGTTTATCAAATTATTAATTATTTTCAGATAACATGATTTTTGATTGTAAAAGTTTGCATAATTTTGAACTGAGGTGATGTGTAGTGATTCGAGTGATTGTATGCCCTCTGTAATATAGTACATATATGTTACTCTCTATTATTATTATTATTCAGTTGTCATCTTATATATCTATTGTAATTTCAATCATTTTATAGAGTGTTAGTCTTAAATGTCATAATATAAGTAATACACAAGGGTTCTCATTTGTTTGTAAATGTGGATATTGTTTGGAATTATCTACATAATTGTGAATTTATTATTTAGGCTGAACTGGTGTAGTTGAAATTCATGAAATTCTGTTATCTGTATCATTGGAGTGTTGCCATGTTTACTTGTAGTATTTAGTCATATATATTTTAAGTTACTTACTCCATTTATATATCTCTTGTATATCAATTTTTCTAAAGAGCATGGACTGTAACAAATTTACTAATTATTTTGTGTGCGGATAATGATGAACATTAATATTTTGGACGAATTGTAGAGTTGGGTAGTTGTTATACATAGGGTGCTATGTTGCACTTATTAATGTTATTATTTTGCAGACCAGGAGGTCTGAGGCTAAGAGGGGGGTAATGTGAGTGATATAACATTGGTTAAAATACATTGATGAAATATTAAGGGCAGGTTTAGTAATGAGTAAGGTAATGTTGTTCAGTTTCAAATTGGCTCAGTATAGCGAATACGGTATGTTAGTATACTTTAAGGAAAAGAGAGCTTGAGCGACTTTCAATTATCATTTGGCATAAGCGTGTCTGATTTTGGCATACACATGTCGCATTCTGGCATAATCGTTCATATCATAAGGAAAAGTAAGTTTGCTTCCACACGAGGTACTTGTTCCTTGTCTTGAATGTAATTGTATCCATGTAACTAATCGTGTATCTTAAGAAGTATGATGGGATATGTCGGGCTCGTTCCAGACATTATGTAAACAATCTTCTCACAGAATCTCTTCCACATTGCATTCCAAAGGAGGTTAATCTATGCAATGTAATTCTTAGCAGTTTGTGTGTAATCTATTTTGGGAAATCTTCTACAGAAGTGGGAAAGTACCTCTTGTGGAATTCGGCTGTAAATGGTGAGGCAAAACGTCTTGAGAAACAGAATCTATTACCTTAGAGGCAAAGCGCAGTTTGAAAGTCAATATCAGTGTAGTAGACTAAATGTCTGGGTATAAAATGTGAACAAATATGACAGGGGCCACATGATGGATTGCGGGTTTTAAGAAAGATAAGAGCAGGTTAGCGAGAGCAAGATAGAAAAGTAAGATGGGTTTGGAAAGTGGAGGAAAGTTTAAGATCTGAAGAAATGGAATTGTGTAGAACTTTGTACAATTAGAAATTAGAAAATAAAGTGAAGAAGAAAATTATATAAAGTCTCGGCCTTAATGTTTAGGAACTTTAGATCCGTTTACCAATTAGGAACACCAATGACATTGATCATAAAAGACTTTAAGTATAATGAACATTTGGTCAAGAAGAACATTGGTGGACGGATTTTCCCACTTTTGGTCTGGAATCTCACCCCGCGTTCGTAGTGGTGTTTCTGTTAAGTACTCTAGGACCCCTAAATCCTCAGCAGCTGCGTCAAATAGATGAAGCAAAGGTACTTCTTTGGCCCTAGTTATGATAACGTCTCCCCAATCTCGGTAAAGCCGCACCTCGTCCTCCCATGTTGAGGCAACTACCATCCGTTGATATGAAATTGGCGCTTCGTAAGCCACTTTCATGATAGGTTTGATAACTCCATAAGAGAGTATTAGTGCACCCATCATCCGTTCTCTTCTTGGAACGTCATCTTCTACTATGAGGCACTGCCAGGCTTGCTTCTGATACTTATTTACACTGAGGGCCTGTCCGGCTTGCATCTTAGATCGGAGTTTTTGCAGGATCGCTTCTTTCTGCTTTCCCTTGTGACCTACTCCCGCCTGATTTCCTTTCAGGATGCTGATGCATTTAAGAAGACCTGCCGGGTCATTCGATTTATTCATGTTCATCTTCTCGCCGTCAGATAGATTCATGGTCCTTGCCGCTAACCATGCTAGGTAGGGCGCTATGTTTGTTTTACCAGAGATGCTTGGGCTTTTCTGGTATACTACATTTTCTCTCCTGTGGCAACTAATGTTGCTTAGAATTGCAGCAGACTTGAGGGCTTTCAGCTTCTCCAGTAAGGGTGCCGTTTCTTCGAGGACTCTGCCTCCTCGTTGTATTAGTTTCGGACCAACGTTCAGTGCTGTCCAAATCAACAGTCCAGCATCCCGAGTGGGTAGCCTTCTATTTTCTGTCAGAAGACTTTTCTCTTTGATGTTTATCGGATTCCAGACCTTGACGAGGTCTCCTACTCCATAGGCGTCTTCCTTGGACTTGTCCAAAGCCCTTTTGAGAAGTTCCCGGGTTTCTTCGTCAGATCCAGTATATTCGGGTGAGGGGAAGTAAATCTTTCTTCCGAGTTCTTGTATGTTTTCCGGTTTGTCCGGGAATTTGGCCTCTGTTACCAGATTGTCGATCACATCTGTTCTTTTCCTTTTTTGGCCCGGTTCCTTTTTCAGAATTTCTCTGAAAATTATTTGTTGTTTACTATCGTTGATTCTATATTGTTTTAATGCGTCGTTGAACGATGCATATATCATTTCTCCGGTCTCGTACGCTAGGAGACCAGTAGTAGCGATTCCCCATGCGCCTGAGATGATGCGCAAGAAGTGGTAACCTGAAACCTCATTTGCGTTTGGTCTAATTCCTCTCAATCCTTCCTTGACAAGGTTAATGTATCGTGCCTTTTCGGCTTCAGATACAGATGTTTCCACCCTTTGGGGATCAACTTGCATTGCCATAACCTGGTGTTCTCAGGTGGTAAAGGTTGTTTTATGTATCTCTTGCTACTGCGTTTAAGGCACAATGTCCGTTAATTTAAAATGACCACCAATGTTCTTCTTGACCAAATGTTCATTATACTTAAAGTCTTTTATGATCAATGTCATTGGTGTTCCTAATTGGTAAACGGATCTAAAGTTCCTAAACATTAAGGCCGAGACTTTATATAATTTTCTTCTTCACTTTATTTTCTAATTTCTAATTGTACAAAGTTCTACACAATTCCATTCTGCTTTCCCTTGTGACCTACTCCCGCCTGATTTCCTTTCAGGATGCTGATGCATTTAAGAAGACCTGCCGGGTCATTCGATTTATTCATGTTCATCTTCTCGCCGTCAGATAGATTCATGGTCCTTGCCGCTAACCATGCTAGGTAGGGCGCTATGTTTGTTTTACCAGAGATGCTTGGGCTTTTCTGGTATACTACATTTTCTCTCCTGTGGCAACTAATGTTGCTTAGAATTGCAGCAGACTTGAGGGCTTTCAGCTTCTCCAGTAAGGGTGCCGTTTCTTCGAGGACTCTGCCTCCTCGTTGTATTAGTTTCGGACCAACGTTCAGTGCTGTCCAAATCAACAGTCCAGCATCCCGAGTGGGTAGCCTTCTATTTTCTGTCAGAAGACTTTTCTCTTTGATGTTTATCGGATTCCAGACCTTGACGAGGTCTCCTACTCCATAGGCGTCTTCCTTGGACTTGTCCAAAGCCCTTTTGAGAAGTTCCCGGGTTTCTTCGTCAGATCCAGTATATTCGGGTGAGGGGAAGTAAATCTTTCTTCCGAGTTCTTGTATGTTTTCCGGTTTGTCCGGGAATTTGGCCTCTGTTACCAGATTGTCGATCACATCTGTTCTTTTCCTTTTTTGGCCCGGTTCCTTTTTCAGAATTTCTCTGAAAATTATTTGTTGTTTACTATCGTTGATTCTATATTGTTTTAATGCGTCGTTGAACGATGCATATATCATTTCTCCGGTCTCGTACGCTAGGAGACCAGTAGTAGCGATTCCCCATGCGCCTGAGATGATGCGCAAGAAGTGGTAACCTGAAACCTCATTTGCGTTTGGTCTAATTCCTCTCAATCCTTCCTTGACAAGGTTAATGTATCGTGCCTTTTCGGCTTCAGATACAGATGTTTCCACCCTTTGGGGATCAACTTGCATTGCCATAACCTGGTGTTCTCAGGTGGTAAAGGTTGTTTTATGTATCTCTTGCTACTGCGTTTAAGGCACAATGTCCGTTAATTTAAAATGACCACCAATGTTCTTCTTGACCAAATGTTCATTATACTTAAAGTCTTTTATGATCAATGTCATTGGTGTTCCTAATTGGTAAACGGATCTAAAGTTCCTAAACATTAAGGCCGAGACTTTATATAATTTTCTTCTTCACTTTATTTTCTAATTTCTAATTGTACAAAGTTCTACACAATTCCATTTCTTCAGATCTTAAACTTTCCTCCACTTTCCAAACCCATCTTACTTTTCTATCTTGCTCTCGCTAACCTGCTCTTATCTTTCTTAAAACCCGCAATCCATCATGTGGCCCCTGTCATATTTGTTCACATTTTATACCCAGACATTTAGTCTACTACACTGATATTGACTTTCAAACTGCGCTTTGCCTCTAAGGTAATAGATTCTGTTTCTCAAGACGTTTTGCCTCACCATTTACAGCCGAATTCCACAAGAGGTACTTTCCCACTTCTGTAGAAGATTTCCCAAAATAGATTACACACAAACTGCTAAGAATTACATTGCATAGATCAACCTCCTTTGGAATGCAATGTGGAAGAGATTCTGTGAGAAGATTGTTTACATAATGTCTGGAACGAGCCCGACATATCCCATCATACTTCTTAAGATACACGATTAGTTACATGGATACAATTACATTCAAGACAAGGAACAAGTACCTCGTGTGGAAGCAAACTTACTTTTCCTTATGATATGAACGATTATGCCAGAATGCGACATGTGTATGCCAAAATCAGACACGCTTATGCCAAATGATAATTGAAAGTCGCTCAAGCTCTCTTTTCCTTAAAGTATACTAACATACCGTATTCGCTATACTGAGCCAATTTGAAACTGAACAACATTACCTTACTCATTACTAAACCTGCCCTTAATATTTCATCAATGTATTTTAACCAATGTTATATCACTCACAATAATTTGTGATCCGAGTGCTGGTCTTCTAATAAATTATATTGAATCCAATTACCGTACCAAAGACAAACAATTATTCAGACAAGACTGTGCATATTATAGGAACATTCATTTAACATAAATATCCAAATACATAATTATGTTTCTAATAAAAAATATAACATATGAAGAACAGTTTTAAATGTAACAGAGGCTAATGATATTTTTCTCATGCTTGCACAAACCTAATAAATAATTTCCAAACTCATGATGGGTCGTGGAAAATTAATTCATTTTAGATGCAATTTGAAGGAATGAATAGTCATACATCATAGCTTGTATTTTTAAAATTGCAAATGCAATTACAAGATAGAACTTCTCCCTTTAAGGTATTACGTCCATAAATATCTTGAATATTCTCTCAGCAGTTCTATATTTAAAAAGAACGCCGGGGTTGCAGTTGGGGTAAGAAGACCAAATGACTCAGGTATCGAATCGTAAATAATACCAATGTTGCGATTATTGTCCTTGTTTTGTTGCATAGGATAAAAGGGTATTTTTCTCTGGTTGCTACAGTTAGTCGTATTCATATGTGGAACATCTACCCAACAATCAAAAACATGAGGTATAACATCTTTTTTCAGAGAACGTTTCTTACTAAAACCATGATATTCAAAATCATCATCAGTGAAGTGTAAAGAACAAACTTTACAAGAAGGTTTCAACTGAAATGATTTATCTTCCATTCGATGGATAGCAATTAACCACTTTCTTTTATTCTCTGGAACGTTACGACCTTGTCTTCAACAACTGATGTCCCATTTGCGTTGCATCTTGGAACTATGCAATGTGTTTTTTGTGTACATGTCTTGCGTTTCTTGGAGCTGTCACCAAAATATTTATATTCGAGTTTGTTTATGTGATATTCATGATACTAGTATGCTGATGTATTTCAATACTTGTTCATTAACTGGACTGTACACAAGACTCTAGTAGGCCAAAACCTTGACAATCAATCCCACTCCCCCCAAAACATATGACTCGTTTTTACTGTTGATTGATCAATTAATATCTATTTCACCTAACACTAGAAAAAATAGTACAAGCTTATTATTACAGTGCAGTAGTCAATGGTATGTTGGCAGTAAAGAAGTACATATCAGGGTCAATGCGCTGTAAACATTGGACTCTTCTCATCAATTTTACTCAGTTCATTTGATTTCCCAGAACGGTATAATGAAGGGAGAATATGAACGAGAGTGTTATCAATGAGATTCCATCACATTTATGATAGAGATTATTAAGTACTCACCATAATTCAACAATTGAATGAGCCCGTCTCTGTCGCGATTCACATTGACTTGTAATGTGTTCAGATTTTGCCGCGAAAATCTGCCCTACTCTGACGTCAGAGATTCTAGATTTGCTAATTATAATATTCATGAGCTGACTTTAGGGAAAGGTGAATAGATCGTTAAAATTCACCCCTAGTCCCCTATAGATAGTAAAACTTATCGGATAAATAGTGAAAACAAACTTCGTCAATCCAGAAAGTTCCAGGATGCACCGCGGTAGACAAATTTTAAAATTCCCGGCTGTTGGATACTCCCAGAATGCATCAAACCGGAAATGAAACTTTTGCATAATAATAACGAAAGCAGAATAAGATCCAAGCATGTTTGTCTTCCGCACATGGCATTAAATAGAAAATAAGTTGTATTCTATACAGATTAAGTAGAACATTACAACTATCTTAGTATGGAAATTGCGAATAGGAGAGACGAATCGCGAGTCAAGGTAAGGTGAAAACGAGTGAAAAATAATTTTTGGTAAAAATTTCAAATCGTGAGTTCAAGTTTTCAACTCGATCAATTGATTTTTAGGACAAATGCGAGTAAAACTCGAGTACACGAGTCAGTCTTCCAACCACTCTTACTATGGTCATAATTTTTTCCATTTCAGTCAAAAATACATATACTACTGTACATATGTAAAATTAATTTTAGTTTTGCCTTGCTTATTTTGGATTCTGACTACATCCCTTTGACTTACAATTTGTTCCTGTTTAACACAGACAGCGCAGACACGATTTGACTGCTTAAGGAACTGCTGATAATAGTGTGGAAGATAATCCAGTCCCCAATATACATTAGTATTGATGTTATATATGCCTTGGAAATCTCCTGGTTCAGCTAGCCTTACACTATATCCTTCTGCTTGCAAAGACTGGATGCTTCTACGTGGTCTTTTCATTTTGCCTAAACTTCAATATCCTTAACTTTTTCAATATTTCTAGCTCTGAAGTTCTAGCTTGTCCATGAGTTGACCAGTGTATAATTTCTGAAATTATTAACTACTACAACACAGCGGTCTTGGTCCAGCTGATTAAACTTGCTGAAGTTGGGACTTTAAATGGCTTAAAGTTATAAATAGGGGTATATGTTTAATCATGAGCTTTGTGTTGAAACCCCATGGTTTAATAACACACTATGGTGCATTATCAAAATCAACAATTGCCTCATTGCCAATACCAATCATGGAAAACTGGTTACCTATTGGCAATGGGCTGAGGGCCAATATGAATATTTTAAATTATGTCAATTATGTTTTGGTTGTGAACTTGTTAGGGTTTGTTGAGGCAAAGCCATGGTCTAAGATAAGGCGAGGCAAAAGCTTTGTAAGATTGCTCGCGATATTCAGTCTCTAGTTATTCATGTTTTGCAACTCAGTTTTTCTGCGGTATAATAAGTTAAGTAAAGGGGCCAGTAAAAGTCATGATGCCTGGCCACTTATGGGAGGGGGGGGGGGGCAATAGCTGGTTGGTTGGTTTTGATTGCATCAACAGATCTCATTGCCTCCCAAAGGAGAAATCTCTCAGTCAGATGCCATCTATCATGCCATTGACTGTTTAAAATCATTCTCTACATCAGGCTTTCCTGCTATTGTTACTCTTTTGCTTTAGCTGTTTCTGTGTTTTACCTTATAATGCCTATCACATTAAGGCTATTTTTATTCCAAATGATTCATTTGGAATTCAGTGTTGTTACTTCAGAGGATAATTTGTTGAACCTTGGGATTTTTACATAGAAGAGCAGTTGGATTATAGATACATGGAATTTCATTTGTTTTGCTTAACACCTTAAAGCTGAGGTGCGTGCGCAATCTTATCAAAAACAAGAAATCATTTTATTGCTATTTTTCCTAGTCACTTAGTAAAATACTGGTTATAGTGTGCACTTTTCTACATATATTAGTTTTCAAATCATCTTTCAATCCGATAGAAGCCAATTGAAAGCAGGATTGATTCACACGAAATATTTAGGAAGGAGGCCTTTTGAAAGGGAGTCTGGAAGGTCAATTTTTCAAGAACTGTAATAGTTTCAGCTGATTTCAGTAAATAAATGATGCATATTTGTAGTATTACTCATTTCTATTCTTTTCAGTTTAACATTTGATAGGCAATCATCACACTATAATCAATGATAACTCAATTTGAACCGACAAATATGTTATTTCCGTCAGATGGGATCTGGTGACATTATCAAAGAGCAATGGTTGTGTCATTTATTATCACTAATAGACAAATACAGAAAAGATAATCTATTTAACTTATCCAACCTCCTCTGGGAAAGGTATACTGCAGTATAACAAATTGCCATTTAACCGATTAATAAGTAGTTGTTTTTATGTTAAAATAACAAATTGATTTTGTTTTGCAATATTTCGATTTATTCTTTAAATCTTTTTCAAGCAACTCCTATTGTATATAGTCCACTACTGTCATAAAAATAGTCCACTAAGTGTTCAAAAAGTAGTTGTTTTTATGTTAAAATAACAAATTGATTTTGTTTTGCAATATTTCGATTTATTCTTTAAATCTTTTTCAAGCAACTCCTATTGTATATAGTCCACTACTGTCATAAAAATAGTCCACTAAGTGTTCAAAAAGTAGTTGTTTTTATGTTAAAATAACAAATTGATTTTGTTTTGCAATATTTCGATTTATTCTTTAAATCTTTTTCAAGCAACTCAACAGTTGCTTGAAAAAGATTTAAAGAATAAATCGAAATATTGCAAAACAAAATCAATTTGTTATTATAACCGATTAATACATGACAAAAAGTCTCAAAATTTTAATAGAGAAATATAATGAAAAATAGGATCTTTTTGATCATAGGTTCTGTTTATTTTGCATTGTTGTTGAGGCCATGTGATACCATAAATAAATTGCCACATTTACTATATTCTATTTAGTCTTACTTATAAGACCCTGGACCCTTCCTGCTCTAATCAACTTCTTTCACCAGGTCAAGGTGAACTAATTGTCTCATGAATGAGAAGCCTCACAGCCATTTGCCACCACCTTTGTCATTTATCTAGACTCCTCTTATTAAACCATCACATTATATAACAGCTACTTTAATCCCTTTAATAATACCAATGATGTAACCTTCACCCAGAGCTTTATGACTACTACTGCACTAAAATTCAGTTTATTATGATTGAAAGGGACTCATTCACCCCTAGTTCAGTCCACTGGGAATAATGCCAATCATACTAGCATTTGTTATATCTTATTTCATAACTGAGACGGCTTTAGATCTTGGCTGGTTTTGGATCAGTGCTTTTACAGAATTCTTTACTTAATTTAACTCAAAATTATTCTGTAAGCAGTCATGCATATTTCCTCAAACATTTGTTTCAAGTCCATGCAATATGAGTTAATCTGATTTTTAATTTCTTATGATTTTTTTCATTTTAAAAATCAATGTACGGTTTCTAAGTTTGACAACAGGAGATCTCTTGCAACTTGACATATTTTTGCCATTTTTAATACTTTTAAAGAAATTCAGGTGAATCTACTTATTATGATGATCAGTACAGGGTGTTCCAAAAGCACCAGTCCTGTTACTTTTGCAACACCTTGTATTATTCCTTATTATTTGATAAGCTGAAATCAAAAACACAAATAAGAAAGCAGAAATGTAACATGAATATAAAACGCATTTTAAATGCACGTTTTCACTGTTATTTAAGACTACCAGATTTTTAATGTGATTTAAACCATGTACTTATGGGACTTTTAAAGGGGTAACAAGGCCTGTAGAGAGAAAATAGGAAAATTTTAACATTATCTGAGCTATCAAGGCAACATTTGGCTTAACATCTTCTTTGACATACCTATTTTCTTAAAATGTATTGATAAACTATTAATTTCAACATTAAGAAGTGTAAATTCAGTTCAAAGCTTCAAAAAGGGGAAATCCACTTTTATAATTTTAAGATCCACCATGTTTCAAGAGGAATATCAGCTGACATAATGTTATCTAGGGGGTTTCTTTGTAGATAATAAAAATAGATGTAAGTCTTGATGAAATATCCAAACTTAAATAAATTTTGATATTGCCATGATCGTTGAATGGCCCCCTCTGCACTAATTGTTGCACCTTTAAAGGATAAGCATGACAATTAAAACACAATTGGACACTTTGTCCTCTGAAAATGTGCTCAAATTGCCTCATATTTCAGTTATTTACATATCATTTCTGGAAAATATTTCAAATCATCAACTTACAATTGAAGACAAGCTAAACACTTCAGCATAATGTGACTACTCTTGCCAATCACATTTGGTATGAGGTCAATTCAACAGGAAATATATACATCCACATCTTGGAATATGAAAGGAAAGTAAATCAGACCTGAAAATTGGATGTTACCTTTCTTGTTTTTATTTATTTGATTCTGACCGACCATGCATATACATCATGGTGCAATGTTATTTATCTGTTAACCTTTTTTGTAGAAATTGTTACATCGATGCCCAATGGTTTGCCATAAACTGCTTGTTGCCATTTTAGTACAATAAAAGCTATTATGATCAAAGGTATTCTAACAAAGGATGAGAGTCATCGGGGACAGAATAAATGAGTAACAGAACCATGTGGGCATGTGGCCATAATTAAACAGAACAAGAAAGGAATTAGGGCTAGATTAATAATGAACATTGTTAGACAATCCATTGGACATTTCGCTTGAATCTTTTTGATTAAGTTAGATTAAGTTTGAGACACATTATCACAGATATCCAGTATTGTTATCCTATAATGGAGAAAATGACCTTGACATTACAATATTGCAATGAGTTATGGAATAAAATATCACCATGTTCTTCATTTCTACTCACATCTTTCCTTTCTAATTTATTTTAACTTCACAAATCAAGACAGGAGAGTTCAAAATGAGCATGACTTAGTTGTTTCAAATGTGTTTATTGTACTATTATGAATTTGTAGTACAAGAATCACAATGACAATGTTCCATGTTATTTACAAGAGTCTGCGTTTTATAGCGGAAGAGGATGCTATTTCAACACTTATAAGAGCTCTAACCACTTTCTAAGAAGACTGTCATATTACATGCAATAAGCCTATTTATTACAATACCTGCAATTAGCAAATAAATAACAAGTTGTTAACTTGAAAGGGTTCTGACCACTTAACCCCAAATCTCCTTGCCTCAGACGAAGTGCAAATCATAAGAGTTGCATTCTTATTTTTTAAACTATAATGTTTATGGAAAAGTAGGTTTCTGTGAATTTTCTATCTGTGATGCAAGTTAAATTTTTAGTATGTTTTAGTACTTTTTCACATTAAACAGGTAGTCATTGATAAAGCTACGTTCACACCAACGGCACTTTGATGGCGCTTTAAAGTTGCTTGTAAAGCGGCACCAAAGCGTAACAAAGCTTGATTAAAGCGTCGGGGTCGTAATAGGTCGTAGAAAAGCTCAGAGTAAAGCGGGATATTTGGCAAGAGCGCCAAACATTTTTAAAGCTACTTTCACACCAACGGCGAATGCCACGCTTTAAATCAGCGAGCAAAGCGCTGTCATTTATGTTTACTTTTCCAAAAATATTGCGATCTCCTAAGTAAAGTTACGCTCTGATAAACTCTGATACGCTCTGATTTCCCGACTTGTTACGGTTCCTCACGCTATGATCCTGCTTCAACCAGGCTTTTTTACGCTTAAAATCACGCTTTGATAAGCTTTGGTAAGCATTATTACGCTTTGATGCGATTATGATGCTTTAATCAGGCTCTGATATGATTGCCAAGCTCTGTTGTGCATTTTCGAGATCGCCTTTATCATGACGCTTTTGATCAAATGGCTGTATAAAGATGCAGTAGATCCATAAAACCATTGCATCTGTGACTCGAGAAGACGATGGCAGAACAACAAGATCCAGAATTTCCAGATGGACCAGATCATGACCTATCTGAAGAAGACATGATGTTTGTCTCACGGCGTGAAAGAGCGTGAGAAAGCGTGAGGAAGCTTGTCAAGCGTAACAAAGCTTAACAAAGTGTTTCAATCCTTGATTAAAGCATCTCAATTCGTTAAAAAGCTTGAGAGTCCTTCATGAAAGCGTAACAAAGAGTGTCAGATATTGATGAAAGCGTCTGACCTCGTGTCAGATCTTCATGCCAGT